TTTAATGTAAAACATATGTTTGATTTTATCACAATTGAGTTTTCTATATTTTGTAGAAATCTTAAATAAAGGAAATATTTCAAATATTTATCCAACATTTTATTTACTTTTGTTCCCCATTAAGTTTTGTTCATAAGTTGAACAATTTTGAAAGAAATATTTTAGTACAAATGTACTAATGATGTACTAGTATGTACTAGTGGGTACTAATGTACTCTTTTATCTATTATATTTAGATGTGTTTATTTGATATATATTTGAGGGCAAGCCTATAATTCAAATGTAAATACTTTACAGTCTTTTCTTATCCTCAATTTAGATTAAACATATGCAAGGTGTCAAGTGTTTACCATCATTTTCCGCATACCGTCGATAATTTATCATCTTGCGCGCAGTACCGTATCATTCTTACGCAATCTTCTGAAAAGTGCAAGAGGGCGAAAATTTCTTACTAAAATTGATTTTATTTAGACAGTTTGCATACATCACGGAAGTTTTGAATGTTTCATCTATGTGTGCAAAAAAGTAAAGTTGTCGAAAAAAGTATCATATGTAAAAAATCACATAAAGCATTGACACGAGCTGATCACATTCCAATTTTCCACAAATAATGCAAAATCAAGAAAACTTTGATAAACGTGGTACCGCATGCAGAACCATGGCACCGCTTCTTTTTAATACTGCATACATGTACTTTAAGATATTTTAAACGTTTTTTATGCCCCCGCCATGTAATGGCCGGGGCATATAGTGTTACCCTGTTCCGTCCTTCCGTCCTTCCGTCATTCTGTCATTCTGTCATTCCGTCATCATCAGTTTCCGTTCATTATCTTAGTAACGGTTGCACACATTCAACTCAAAATTGACATATGGATATTTCATGAGAAAATACAGGTCAAGTTCGAATTTGGTCATGGTTCGATGATTTTTGGCAGAGTTATGCCCCTTTTACTTTGAAAATAATATCAAATTTTCAGTTTCCGTTCATTATCTCCCCAACGGTACAACATATTCAACTCAAATTTAACATATGGATATGTCGTGAGAAAATACAGGTCAAGTTCGAATTTGGTCATGGTTCAATGATTTTTGGCAGAGTTATGCCCCTTTCACTTTGAAAATAATATGAAATTTTCAGTTTCCGATCATTATCTTCCCAATGGTACAACACATTCAACTCAAACTTGACATATGGATACGTCTCAGGAATGCGCAGGTCAAGTTTGAATTTGGTCATGGTTCAATGATTTTTGGCAGAATTATGCCCCTTTCACTTTGAAAATAATATGAAATTTTCAGTTTCTGTTTATTATCTCCCCAACGGTACAACACATTCAACTCAAATTTGACATATGGATATGTTTTTGGAATGCCCAGGCCAAGTTGGAATTTGGTCATGGTTCAATGATTTTTGGCAGAGTAATGCCCCTTTCACTTTGAAAACAATATGAAATTTACAGTTTCTGTTCATTATCTACCCAACAACTCAAATTTGACATATGGATATGTCAAAGGAATGGGCAGGTCTGGTTGGAATTTGGTCATGGTTCGATGATTTTTTGGCAGAGTTATGTCCCTTTCACTTTGAAAATAATATAGATACATCTTAGGAATAAGCAGTTTAAGTTTGAATTTGTTCGTGGTTCAATGATTTGGGACAAACTTATCTTTCTAGAATGTTGGAAAAATTTTGAACTTTCAGTTTCAGCACTGAAATGTATGTAGCCATTATTTTGGCTACAAATATGAAATATGCTATTTTCAAAAAGTTTAGACTGAATAATTTCAGTGCCTTGAACATTGTATGAAAATGGTTTGTGTAAACATTGAAAAGTTTTAAGGGCTTTGAACTTAAAATGAAAAAAATAATTTGTGCGAACAAATTTGGAACTAAATATTATAACATCGGAAATTTTGGCTGCATGCGGGGGCATCTGTGGCATGATGACACATTTCTAGTTGTTGTTTTTTTATTTTTTTGGTTATTTTTTTATCGTAGGATGGACAAGAAAAGGTACATGTTTGGTTACCGGTAAGGGTAAGCAGGGCAGTAGATTACCTGCGCCTGGAAGCAATCTGCACCTCTATAGGTTTTTAAAGATAATGTCCTAGTAAAATTCTATGCTGCCGTAGCGGTTGCATTTTATGTCTTTTGTGAAGTTAAACTTTTTCTTTGGACTCGGGAATTATATAGTATTTGCTGAAATCAATAATTGAACTTTTTTTTCTCACATTGGCTAATACATCGCACAAAAAAGCCCAAACTCATATTTCATAAACAGTAGTTTTTTTTACATTTGAATTTTACTTACTTATCTTATTGACAGGGCACGTAACTTACGCATGCTACTGAATTTAAGAAAGGCGGCAACGGTGTGCTTGTGTTTTCCTCCCTGTATTATTATCTGTGTCGGCATGCTCGTATTATTTTCACACTTTCTTGATACTTGTGGTTCGAGTTATTGCTAGACTTTTATAAAACTTATAGATAACTTTAACCAAAAGAATGTAAGTTTCTTGCTCAAGAAAACATTGGATGGCCGATTCCTAATTCGTCCAATGTATTGACTCAAATTCTTTAGTTTAACCTATATGTTATTTATAAACATTTCATTTACATGATAATTGACAAATAATAAATTATACATATTGGGTAGGAGTTTTTGGGTTGAGTAGGAATCTTAAAAAAACTTTTTTTAAAAACTCTCCATAAGCACTATCTCAAAGAGTATGTATAAACTGGTAACAATTATATATGAATATTTGTATTACATTTTTTTTCATAACAATTTCAATATAAACTTGCGTCTTTACATGTACAAGAAAGTTAGAAATTTGCATACTATTTTCCTTATCGAACCGATTCTTTAGAATATGACCATGGTCCCACGTGTTTACGCCAGACACACAAAGGAATCAGGTTTGCTTCAGGAACTGAAGCATCTTTAGTATTTATGCATTTGTAAATGATTGAGAAAAGCTTCGCCCAGATGGCATCAATAAATAAATACAAATAAGATAATTAAGAAAAAGGTTAATCATCATGATGCGGTGCAAGTCTATCGCTAATGTATACGGTGTCACATTGTTCGGTGCGGACCCATGATACGGTACGAAGAACTCGGTCAGTTGTCATGCTTTTATGATTTTGTAAGGAATTAAACAGCTTAAATTTATGTGCAATATTCTGTGTATACATTTCTTTGATGCTTGCAGTTATATTTTTTGAATATTTTGATTGACAACAGAATTTTCTAATTTTAAAAGTATTCCAAAGGATCCTTTTCCTCAAGCCAGCTCTAGCTTTTCTCATTAAAACAAAGAAATCGTACAAGTCTTTGATTAAAACTAGGTAAAAACAAAACCTTAAATGATCATAATATTCCGTAGACACACTTTTATTTATACATTTTCATCATGCATTTTGTGTTTATATGTTTGTTTTGTCTAAAATGATACGGTTTTGCACGCAGGATGATAAATTATCAATGGTACTCGGAAAAATGATGCGTAAACCTTTGGCACCGTGATATGTTTTAATCATGTATACAGTCTTCGGGGAAGCTTGTTTGATGCCTTACAGTTCAGCAAGAGTCCTAAATGTACTTAATAATAATTTGAAGTGCCTTTATAACATATTGAATCAATTTCATTTAATAGTTAATTTTGATGTAATATTAACGCACTTCTGTTATTCTTCTACGGTAATTTCATAAATTATTATATGTCGGGACGACATTTCCCGAAGTGGGGAAGTATGTCACGAGGGTAATATACCGACATGTATAACTTATTGTTTGTATGTATGTCTTATATATTGTGTCGTTATATATCCCCTATACGTTTGCCATTTTGTTATATCATATATGTGCATGTCCTATATATGTGTCCTATTCATTTTCTCATATTTGTCTCATTTTCATTTATCTTTTTCATTCATTGCAAAATGTAACACTTAATGTCATTCTATAATTCATAACAACTAATTTCTTCTGGACGGACCTCCTAAAATTACTCAGCCGAATTGGAAGCACGCATGTGCACATTGAATATGCTTCAATTGGTTTGCGACCAAAACCCAGCGTACACTTAAATATTTTGACCAGTAAGCGTCTATGTATATTGGAGCACAAAGGTACTTGCTATGCAAATCAATTATGATAAGCCTTATATAATAAAGAAGAAAAAAGAAATTAACTATATTAATGTAAGCTTGCTTTGAGCGATTTTATTCACCGACACATAATCAGTTGCCGTCAGTTTACCTTCAATAACTTTTTTAAGTATGAATTTAAGCCTTTGTAATTTTGATGAAATGTGTGTCGGTCCTATATTCACATCATTAATACAAAATATGCAACTGTAATCGGAGATTTATGCAATAATTAATAAAATACACTCACTCTGTCGTGTGTTTACACGAATAATTCCGCCATTTTTCCGTATCGCATGATTTCACCTTGCCTAAAGGAGTATCGCATCGCTAAACGTTCGACCCCCTGATATTGGTTAAGACATATTTGTAAATATGAAAATAACAGACTTGGTTTTGTCGGATTTGTAAGCGAAAATAAAAGTGAAGTACCACATTGGAAAAATCTTTAAAAAGTAGTCAGTGTGAAATTATACTTTGATAATTTTCACTGTAAAAAACTATCAAATATAATTTTCACGGATAAATCAGTAAACAATATTAAACCAAAGAAAAATAAAGAAAAATCTCCTTAAAAGATAAATCTGCCTTTTTTGAATGAATGCATTGAATGTAAAATAAGAATTCAATTATATCTAAAAACGTATTTTATGCATTCATAAGATCTGTTTAAAGTTTCAAATTTGTTGACTATAACAAAAACCTTTACTGAATAAAAGCGTAAGGTGTTTTCTTCAACGCGTATAAATAAAATTGATTTATCGGTTAAAAATTCTGAAAACATAATACATGTACCACTAATATTTTCGACATTTTAAATAAATTAGAGAAATAAAATAAAACATACCTTGCGGTTGACACGCGGTACTCAAATATAAGCTCTATCTAGCGCACACATTTTCAGAAGATTGTATGTTATACAAATATATAAAGAAGCATCAAGCGAAGGAAATGTCTTTTTCCCGCCAGGTCAACCTCTTTTATACGAGGGAATGTACGAGGGGTGATGAAAAATATCGCGTTAAGATGCTTCCTATTTCTTTTCTTATCGTATTATATTCATGAAAATTCTACTGAGTCGAGATAATTTCATACAAGCATTTATCATTCTTTGCTCAATTTACACATTTGATAACAAAATTACACGCGCTTTAGAAAAGTACTCGTCTCAAAAAACATTTTCAAGGTTGACGCCAACAAAATAATTTATGTCGACTATGAGCGTGTGAACAAATCTGCGAATATTTCTCCGTTTTCAAATCTTTAATTTAAACGTTGAAATCTGGTGTTACCGGACATTCAGAGACTGCTATATTTTCAATTATGAAGCATTGGTTATTTGAATATAAATAACATTAAAATTAAAAGAATCCAGATTACCATAAACACACCATGCATGTCATGCTGATTGATCTTGCGTATGGACGTATGGAAAAACGTTTTACGACAAACAGACGAAACAAACAACGCTGATTTTATACTTAGATACGTCGATGAGAAGCGTTAAAGGTCACCTTACACACCATTATTGAAACTGTTGCAAGAACTTGTTCCTGTACAACATTGCTTAATGATGACTCATATTGCCGAATATTTTAACATGAAAATGTCGAATAGTTTAACATGAAAATATTGTTATTTAGAAATAAGTTAAATCCGCAAACGTGTTTCTACACTTCTTGACTTTTGAAGAATGATAACACTACATGTATAATAAGTCAGGATGACTTTCAAGGCTGGCGATACTGATCGTTACGGCTGGTATAATTTTCATTTAATTTAAGCAATCGTTGGTAACTATGGGTACACTATACTTTCGTTTCTGACTCGATTTTTGTCATATCTTTATGTTAGTCAGATATTTCTTTCGCAGACTTACTGATTACTGTCGGAATTTGTCTTGTCTTACGTTGAGACCATGGGTCAATAACTTAGCAAATACACGTTTCCACAAACATTTTGATCACCCCTGAGGTTGTAAATTGTACAACTAGTGAAATACTTATAATATTTATACGACATAAGCTAACATAAATAAAATTTCAATAGGCCGGGGATTTTGGTTATAATTTAAAATGTGGCTGACACCTGGCAGTCAAAATACCGGTATCTTATTATGGTTTCACTACTACCGTCGCAATTCCAATCGTCGTGTTTTCAACTTGATCAGTGTAATGTAACAAAAACCAACTCAATTGTACGACCGATATTTAAACCTTTCATCATTCACAGGGTGGCATCATTTTTATTTATAGAAAGCGAGCGATTTTTAATGCAGTCTTGCAGTCGATTTAAGTGAATAACGTTTCAAAAAATCTTAGTGGAGTCCCTACATTATTGCATTCACAAATATTTTAGTATTTATATATATAAGCAATGAAATTGACTGTTACCTGAATTTATTATGTTGAGTTGACTCTTTAAATGAAGATAACAAATATACTCCAAATATAAAGATGCAAATGTACAAAATCGGTATTCAACCTTACAATTATCATTATATATGAAGTGTTTTAATATTACATCAAAATTAACAACGGAAAGAATAAAGGGCAGTAAAACACAAGTGGCACTTCTAATGCGAATGTTTGGTGTAGCAATTTACACAACTATTATCACTGGCGTATTTTCATTTGACAGTATTGATAAATGAACATTTGATTACCTTAATGTTCCTTTTTAAAGATAGTTTGATACAATTTTACTACATTGTACAATTTTACTAACGTTTTACATGCAACATAAAGAGAACATTTAATACAAAACAAAATATAGCTTATACAGAAAAGGAAACTTGTATGTTAATAGTATGAAACAAAAAGAATTTAATAATATTAATGATGAGGGCTTTCACAGAAATAATGTCGTCAAAATAACATATTTATAAGACATACTCATGCAGTTTGTAACTTCATTTTCACAATTACTATTTAAGTAAACTGATGTTTTTCACTTTTACGAAATCATAGAAAACAGAAAATATCTTACAGTATACGAGGTGCAGTTATAAACTATATCCACTTGCCCTTACCTAATTATAATAAATTAACATATTTCGAAATTTTACATAAAATATTGCCTTCTCACAATAATAAAGCTCTTTTTACTCCCGGATATTCATAACATTTTTTTTTTCACATTCCATTGCGTGTCGGCTACTCCTTAAAATCGCCTTTCAATCAAATGTCATTAATTTTCGCTGGCACTTTTAAAATAAGTCAATATATTCTTCTAGAAAGTAATGTTACATCGGTTAAGAATTAGGAAAATCAGGAAATTGTAAAAAGTATTCCCTTTCTCGTAATATGAGAATATCGTACGATAGAGTATTTTAATAACATACTAAGGTTCTTTCAGTGTGTTTACTTAAATAAAATAAATTTTAACTTTTTTATATTTCTTTTTTTTTTTGGATACAAATACAAAATGCAAATTGATTACTTTCAATGTTTATGATTGATTTAGAATATGTTTATAATATTAAGACAGCTTGACAACTTCCTAGTGACGGACAAACTGACCAAATAAGGCTAATTTTCTCTCAATAACAATTTATAGTCGGATTTTATTAACCAGTCAGTTATGAATACATTATCAAGTTGTCAAGGAATTCTTCCGTTAACTGCCACGGAGTTCGTCGGAAATGTATTGTATATACTGCAAAATCACTCGTCAAAAATGGTAATTATTATCTTTTAAAAAGTGAGTTTTAGGTGCTCAATTAAACTTTAATTATTAAGCTTGCCTTTCACATTGTATTATGTGTCAAAAACTAATTCATAGTCCATTTTTCATCGCCTCTTGCTAAAAATCTGGTAGTTTTGAGTAAAATTTTTCAAAATATTTGCCAATTCGCAAGTATTGACCTGTTAATTTCAAGTCTTCATCCTTGCCATACATAATTACCTAACTGTAATGCAAACTTGCAAACATAAAACCCGGCTAACAAATTTATACCCGATTTTTCAATTTTCATTTTATACCATAATAAAGGAGTACATGTATAAAACCAGGATAATTTTTTCACACTTATGTTTCCAAAAAGAAAGACAATATGATAAAACTCAACTGCGGTTGGCTATATAACTACCGATCTCTCGAACAAATTTGCAAGTCCCTCCGGGTTTAAACGAAATAAGTTTAACTCAAATATATTTTGTTATCAATTACAGCAAAATAAACAATTTCCTCCACTAAGATTACATAGGGGAAATCCCCATCAAACATCGGCAGAAAAATATACATGTAGACACCATACTTGAGGGCATTTTATCATGAAAGTCAATGCTCTACATCAATACTTTTTCCTGTCTGAGGATTTGCGTCAGCAAAAATACCATAAAAAAGAAACGGGGATAAGATATTTCATTAAAATCTCTTTAACTAAAATACACTCAAAACCAACATTATATATATCCTCATTTTTGTGCATAAAATGAGCGTCTTACATTTCATAATGATTTACAACCTTACTGAATAATAAAAAAACGCTAATTTTGCAGTGATTTAGCCCAAGAAACACATTGGCAGAGACAAAAGTTATCATAAGAACTCCAGGACATATTTTGATTTATCACAAGAACTCCGGGACATTTGATAAATCGGTTTTTAATTTGTTAGCCGGGGCTTTATGTTCACCATTTTGCATTATAATTATGTATGACAAGGATGAAGACTTGAAATAAACAGGCCAGTACTTGCAAAATGGCAAATAATTTAGAAATTTTACTCAAATTAAAATTTTAAGAAAAACGCGATGAAAAATGGAGTATAACTAAGTTTTTGACACCTAATGCAATATGTAAGGCAAGCTTAATCATTAAAGATTAATTTAGCACCCAAAACTCACCTTTTAAAGATGAAAAATTACCATTTTTGACGAGTGTTTTTGCAGTATATACAAAAGTTTTCCGACGAACTCCGTGACAGTTAATGCAAGAACTCATTGACAAGTTATCATAGAACTCCATCCCGCGTGAAACACTTCCTCCCCTGTTATTATAGCACTCATTCCACTTCGGTTTTGTTCGTATAGTTTACAAGAATTAATATAGAGTATATAAGTAATTTTTTGAAAAGTCACAATATCGTTATGTTTACGTTCTGATCATATTTGCAATGGCACAGCCGGTTGAGTGATAACCTATTATATGAGAGGTCTGTGGTTAGATCCCTACTTCTGCAATTGTTTTTAGACCTATTCTTTTTATTTAAATAGGGCTTGCAAAATTGTCTACACGAATATGGAACAACTTAGAAATACTGATTTGTTTGTTTTATATTGAAATATACGCCATTGAACTGACATTTATTGATTGATTTTCTTGATTCTAATATGAATGCTATTTTAAAAAGAGTATGATCTTGACTAAATAATTGCAAAACATATTATAAAAAAGAAACAAAAAGAACAACTTCAAAAGCAATAACTTAAAAAAAACCCAAAAGAAACAAAAAATAAACAAACAATCATACCTTCAATAATGTTGAAAATATAAAAAAAGAAGAAAAAAACACAGACATACGCGTTGGCGATCATACATCACGTGGAACAATAAGAAGTAAACCGGTAGTGTACCCTTTTGCGCTGTAACGGTCAGTTTCACTTTTTCATAGAATTAAATTACATGTAAATGTAATCGCATACTATTGCGTACATCAAACATTTATCAAAGATAAATATATTGTGTGCATGGACGTATAATCAGTGTGCATTTGACAGATTTATTAATTAAATGAAACAATAACTATACTGGATACACTTTCAAAATAGTTGTGCTATTTTCTTGTTTTTTAAATTCGTTTTAGTAAGAGCGGGAAAATAAATTTTAAGACTGCTTATCACGGCAAAGCTCGATGTAGCCAGGGTCTTTCAAAAAGTCTATTTAAAAGACCCTGGTGTAGCTAACGGGCGCTGCTGTGGTAATTTTTACTCGCTATTCCTGGGTTAAGTTGAATAAAACAATTGTATTTAA